CGGAAGTGCCTGGGAAGTCCAATGTACTACCTCGCCTGCCTCCTGACTACTGGAGGGCAGTCAGGCCGAGGAGGCAGCTCTTGCCAATGCCGAAATGTGCCAGGGGTGTGCGTGCAGCAGCCTGCTTGAGGCTGGCGTGGGAAACAGACTAATAATAGTCTGTTTCCGAAACCCTGGTTCGGTGCCTGAGTTTCAGGGCCGGTCGTTCTGATGAACGACCGAAAATGGCCCTTTGTTTCAGGCTAAAAAGGCTATTGCCATTTTTAGTCTGAAACGTTTTAGTCTGAAACGACCAGGGATAGGCCTTGGACTTCAAGCTTTTGGCCTGAACCGACAGGGGGCCTGTAAGCCCTGGATTTCAGGCTTTCAGCCTGAAATTCAGGCTTTCGGAAGGTGGAACCTGGACGCGGGCGCGGCGTGGAGCCGAAGAAACCGGCTTGCCCTGCATCTTGCGTTCGTAGCGTGCGAGAACGTCTGGAGCTGTCGCTTGCAGTTCCGCACGGGTTAACCAACGGTCAGATCGATGTGTGTGGTAGGCAAAATGCACCAAATACTCAGTTGGCTTGTTTCCAAAGCGTCGCTGGGAGATGATGTCGCCGACCTCCTGAAAACCATCCATAGAGGGTGGGTCTTGCGTCCGTCTCCCGGGAAAGTCGTCATGATCCGCTGGTGTCTAGAGAGCCAGTTTGGAGCAATGAAAAACTGGGTCGACAGGCAGAGGCTAGGCACCTGAATCGTGAAGGAGGGTCCTTCGGGTGCGTCCCCAGTGGGCTCTATGATCGGCCAAGGCCCCATCCATTTCGGGAGGAGCTTGCGAGAGACGTCTTGTTCAAGGCTGAATTCTGCTGCTGAAACCCAGACGAGGTCTCCGGTGCGGAATGGACAAGGAAGACGCTGGCGATATGCCTGTTGGCGCGTGCGCTGTTGCGTCTTAGCCATCTGGTCGCGTGCCTTGACAAGAAGCTCTTGCATCCGACGCAAGAAAAAAAGATAGTTGTCGCTCTCGGCCGTGCGTGGAGTAATCGTGTCTAACGGTGACGTGACCGGCGAGCCGTGCTCGAACTCGAAGGGCGATATCCCAATAGTCGGGTGGATGGAAGAGTTGTAGGCCAACTCAACGTCCCGCAGTCGCTCAACCCAGTCTTTCTGGTTGGGGCGGATGAGAGTGCGAAGGAGAACCAGTGCGGTCTGCTGCGCCCTCTCGGTCTGGCCATCGGTCTGAGGGTGGCGAGCTGAACTGGGCTTGAGAGATGAGCCCCATCGCTTGATGAGCGCCAACAAAAAATCGGACATGAACCGAGTGTCGCGGTCGCAGACGATCTCCTTGGGGTAACCCTTGGTTGGAATCCAACCGGCGTAGAGAACCTCGGCCAACTCCGGTGCCTTGGCATGATAGCAACAAAGCAAAAACATGGCGAACTTGGTGAGTCGGTCGACCACAGTGAGAATCCCATCCACTCCGGTCTTGTGCTTGGGGAACAGGCCGGTGATGTCCATGGCAATCACTTCCCTTCGCCTTAACGAGATTGGCAATGGTCGTAGCTCGCCGTACGGACGATGGTTGCGGGATTTGCAACGTCGGCAAACCTTGCATGACTCGCAATAGCGCGTGACGTCGCCGAGAAGGCCAGACCACCAAAATCGCTGGCGAAGTCAGCCAATCCTGCGATTGACTCCAAAATGTCCGGTGGCGGGAGCGTCGTGGAACTCGCCAAGAAGCCGTGTATGCAAGTGAGGATCACTTGGTACGCAAAGAAGGTCCTTCCCCCGCGTGTGGTCAAGCAAGTACCCCTCCTGGATCCGGTAGTGAGAAGGAGCCGGATTAGGCGAGGAGCAATTCGCGTACTTGTCGCGAAACTCGGGGTCGGCTTGGTAACCGCGGATGAAGCTGTTGCGCAGGTCATCGTCAATCTCGAAAGTCGAGTAGACCGCGGTACAGTGATCCGGACGCCGTGAAAGAGCATCCGCAAAACGGTTCGACTTCCCGGGAATGTGATCGGGAAAGAAGTCGAACTGGTMGATGAAAGCCATCCATCGAGCGATGGTGCTGTTGACGGTGTCTTGGGTCTTGTAGAAGACCAACGGATTGTTGTCCGTTACCCAGCGAAATTGGCTTCGACCAAGGAGGAAGTGCCGCCACCGCTTGAGCGCGTGGACGAAGGCGAGGAGCTCCTTCTTGCGTGCATCGTCAATGGAATGCACGAGTGACACTTTCTTGCTGAAGTACTCGACCGGGTGCCAGTCCACACCATCATGTTGCTCGAGGACTGCACCAATGTCATAGCCTGACGCATCCGTAGTGACACGTGTAGGCGCGAGCGGGTCGTATATCCGCAAGACCTCCGCAGACAATAGCGCGGCTTTGAGAGCGAGGAATGATCCCCGCGTCTCCTCTCCAAAGTCAAACGGTCGATCCCTGCACTGAAGCTTGTTCAAGTGGGCCGCGATCTTGGAATAGCCTTTGATGAAGCGCTGACAGTAGCCGGTAAGACCGAGGAACGAGCGGACATCCGTGACGTTCCGAGGCTCCGACCACTCTTGGACGGCCTGAATCTTGTCCGATAGCGGAGTGATGCCCTCCAGTGTGACAAAATAGCCAAAGTATTCCAGCTCTTGCCGGACGAATTCGCACTTGTCGTGGTTGGCCTTGTACTTGGCACGGTGGAGCGTCTCCAACACTCGTCGAAGATGTCCAAGATGATCCTCCAATGTCCGGCTGTAGACGAGAATATCGTCTAAGTAGACCAGCACGAACCGGTCCAACATTGCATGAAACTCATTGGTCATCGCCGCCTGGAATGTCGCCGGGGCGTTGGTGACGCCAAAAGGCATGACCACCCACTCAAAATGCCCGTACCGCGTGTTGAATGCGGTTTTGTAGTGATCATTTGGCTGAATCGAAATTTGATGGTATCCTGATTTCAAATCCAACTTGGACAAATACTTCGCACCGCCCAGCCGCTCGAGAAGATAGTCGATGCGAGGAAGATGCCTCGTATTCTTGACGGTTTGCGCGTTGAGCTTGTGGTAGTCGATGCACAATCGTAGATCCTTGTTCTTCTTCCTGACGAAGAGAACTGGTGCTCCATATGGGGAGCTACTCGGGCGGATCCATCCCTTGGCCAACAAATCATCGAGTTGTGCGCGGAGTACCTCAAGCTCCTCCTCGCTCATCCGATAGATGCAACCTTTCGGCGGCACGGCACCGGCCTCCAGAATGATCTCGTGAGAGATTGGCCGACCCGGCACCACACTGGTAGGTGATTCGAAGATGTCGGCGAACTCGTCCAGCAACCGTACCACACGGGGGTCCGAAGACAAGTCCGTGGGTGAAGAGCCGGCTACCGCGACGGTCCGTAGGAAACATATGCCGGTCTCCTCGGGGTGCTCGTAAGCACAAGTCGCCCGGAATGATTTGGCCGTCACCACTTGGCACCGGATCGAAGAGTGCGGTAGAGGAATCGTACACGCCACTTCCGCGCCGAAGGCGTCGCGAACGCTAAGAGTCCGCCGATGGAAGTTGACCGTGTGATCCGCACTTGCAAGCCAAGGCATTCCCAGAATGATGTTGAAGTACGTGTCGAGAATATCGAATGTTACCGGTTTGCATGCATGAGGTGCGAAGTAGACCGGTACGGCCTCGATGTAACGGTCGAGAAGTTGCTGCGTCTTACCATCCACCAACTTCATCGCCGTCGGGTTTGCCTTCCTCCGAACCTGAGCGCCAAGGCCAGCCCTTTGCATAAAAGACTGGCTCATGAAGTTGCGAGTCGCGCCGCTATCCAGCAAAGCGCTGCAGGACGCTTGCCCAACCTGGATGCGGACATACATGAGCGGTGCATTGTTGTTATCGTACCGCTGCGTGCAAAACTCGCGGGCCACCTTGGTAACGTACGCCAGGATGTCCCCCACCGCGACTTCGTCATCCGTCGGCGAAGTTGGTGGTGCATAGAAGGAAAGGTAAGTGTGGAGATGAGCGCTAAGTGTTGCGCATTGCGGTCCCGGCAAACAGCCTGTGGTCGGGAGAGGAAGCCATGCAAAGTCCTCAGACGTAAGCGGGTCCAAAGCCTCTATCTTGAACTCGCGTGCCGAATCCCGTGACGAACCACTTGAAGATGATATGTCGCTGTTGCCGGACGGAGAAGAAACCGCACACACTCCTTGTCGCTGAGCCTGAGTACCCAGCGTTGGAAGGAGCCGGACAGCATAGTCCTCAAAAGAAAATAGAAGCGGAGGACTGTCAACTTCCGCGTGCACCTCGGAATGAAGGCTGGTCACTCGCGAAGAAACCAGTTCCGAAGGCGTCGAGAGTGTCGTCGCATCACTCTCGGCGGTGCTCAGTTTCCCTGTCGACCGTTGCCCTTCAGTGGGCAAACCGGCGTCAGATGAAGATCGCTGTTGCACCACAGACAATAATGGAATCTCTCGCGCGCCTTGTAGGCGGACTCGGAGAGGCCATACGGGGTCCATGGGCCTGTCTGAGCTGCTGCACCTGGCCCGGGGCTAGAAACGGTGTGTGTCTTCAGCTTGCCGCGCCCTCGGCCTCTGCCGGCGCGGCCACCTTCCCGGGCGGCTGCGAATCTGTCTCCTTCACTGGCAGACGCAGCCTCGCTGGTTTGGTCTAACGGCGCTGCCGCTGCGACCACGGCCACTCGTGGCCGATGCTGGTCCCCGCTCGTACCTGACGCAGAAGAACGGAGGTTCTTGGCCTCCTTGTTCGTAACGATGATCTGCGCCGCCTTGTCGAATAGTTCCGCCGTCGTCGTGAAGGTGTCCTCGACATGCGTCAGGGCATTACTCAATGTCGGACATGACCTTGAGATGAAGTAGTGGCGGATGGCCTTGAAGCCCATCTGGATGTCTGGGACTGACATCAAGCGTTGGTACTCGGCGATCCAGTCCGTACTCGGCAGCGAGCCTTGCTCGAAGACCATAAGCTTGTCTATGGCTTTGATCTCTGGCGGCTCCACCTGGAACCGCTTGTGCCACGCCGCCTTCAGATCATCCCAGCTGATCATGGTGTGCAAGTCCGCTGCTACCACTCCGTACTTGGACAACAAGTTGTCCAACCACGCTTGACACGCGCCCCCTGAGCGAGAGTACAAGTAAGTGTGTTGCTTGTTTTCCTTGACGTTGTGGAGTTGCAGTGTGAGCTCGAACTTGCGAAACCATGAAATTGGATCTGTCTTGATTGAGTCGTGGAAGATCTCCTGCCCATCTGTCTCGCGCGGCTCCGGACTCGAGGTGGTGGCGGTAGTGCAGATCCGCTACTGCAATTGTTGCGTCGCGGTTTGCTGTAACTGTGCGCCGTCCTGGAGGGAGCCGACGTGCATCTCCAATGCAGTGAGGCGGTCGGCAGTATTGGAAGAGCCTGCGTCGGCGACGGCGACTGGTCGTTGCTCCACCCGCTGAAGGCGGTCTTGGAGGTTAGCCACCGACTTGTCGAGACCAAGGATCTCCGCCTGCTGTGTAATGCAGGTTGCCATGAGATCCGTGAGATGCGAGAGGAGGAGCGCTATCTTGTTTGCGCTATCCTCCAACTGGCTATTCTCGGCCTCGCTTCGCCATTTTGCTGCCATGGTAAGTAATGCTCGCTCTCCGGTGAATATCTTCTCACGACGTTGTGTTCTTTCTTCATCAGCAACCCTTGCTGCTGCCTCATCGTGCTGGCGCTGTTGTTGCATGGCCAGCAGACCTACCTGTTCGGCATCCTCTGCCCTTTTCTTGGCTTCCGCGGCAGCGTCATCTGCCCGCTTCTTTGTCTCGGTACTCCAGGCTAACATGCGGGCTTGATAGGACTCGTCTGTTTCCCCAGTCTTCTGGTCCATGACTGCTGTCTGTGAACGCAACAACATAGATCAGACCGGTGCCTGCTGATGTGGTATCCCTTGCTGCTGACGTGGCAATGCTGACGTGTCCTGCTGACGTGACAACTTACCAATGCCGTCACAAGGGGTACCCGGAGACAACCAGAAATGGCAAGGCGAGAGATGGCAACAACGTAGGTGGGGAGGGGCGGGTGGGATAATCGCCCAACTCACACTTAGATAAGGAGCCCCTAATCAAACCAGAAAAGTTTGAACTTTGCAAAAATTTTTCGAGAAACTAAAAATTAAAAATCCCGATTTTTGCAAGTTCGGTAGGTCTCCCAATCTCCCTTGAAGTACGAAATGATCTCTGAAAGCGAAAAAAATTCGACTTTAGACTGCAACCGATTTATAGAACCAACTGACAGAATCCAAGAACTGCGAAAAAAGTCCGAACAGAAATGACAAATATTCGGATTTATTCCGATGGGAATATTCGCAGTTTGAAAAAAAATAATACGTGCAGGAGGTATTTCCCGTACCGTTTTCCGAAAAAACGAATTTCAGAAAAGAAGATATTCCGAAGTTCTAAGTACGGAAAAATGCAATAGAAAATCAAAATTTTCAAAAAGAAATATATCCCGGATTTTTTAACAAAAAAATTTCGAATTTTCAGAAAGAAAAACGAAAATAGGAATTTCAGATGTTGCGATATAGCGATTTTCCATAGCAGAATAGCGAGAAAATAAAATCCGAGAAAAGAAAAAATTTCGATTTTTTTTTGTAGTAAGGTCAAGATCGTGATTTTGGGGTCTAACTAGTATGTCCTAATCAACAGAAAAGACTAACTAGCTTTTTTATCCCCGCACACGTGTCAGATCAGATAGTCCTGATTCACCTGCAAAAGCTCCGATACCAACTGTTACATGCACAAATATGCAATGTACGTAATAAACCGAGAATCTGCAATGTGATGAAAAGGACTGAATAGACAATGCGGTACGAGTAGAATCTCGACAAGCAAGGTACATTCTCATTCATACATAAAGATGCTGAAGAGCGCAGGGAAGACTTTGATACAAGACCAACCTGACAGGACTGACCTCATTCACGTAGTTAAGAGTAACGAAGCAGAATGCTAGAGTACCTTTAACTAGCCGAATCAATGTTTGAACTCAGACTGAACATGCCTTGTATCCATCACGAAGTGTGAAGGAGCCTGGCGCTACACACAAGAAGAAAGCGCCAGGTCCAGACATACATAGACGAAGAGATAAGGAACAGACGAAAGGAGGGAAGAAGATGGGAATGTCGTTAACACCAAGTCTTG